TCACTTACAGACTTGCTGTGTAATACATGGTATTAGCCACTGGTCCTTGCCTCGCCTTTCGGAGGGAGTCGGGGTAAGATATAAAAATGCACAATAACCCAAAAATTGCAGTCACTGTAATTATATGGCAATCAAATAGACTCTATTCCGAATGTGCTCAGAAAGCAAATATGTAGTTTTATAGCAATTCTCCATGTTCATGCCATTACATGAATTGTGCCAAAGAACCTGAAGCAGCCAAGTTGACTGTTCATGTGTCTAGTTAGCTGCTGCACAAGGAAAGAGAGCTTAATGCTTAGCCAGTTATGTCAATATAGTCATACAGTTCAACAAGACTTTGAAAGCCTTTTGTTTTAGGTGAAACTACAAGAAATCTCATCTGAAGTAACACTTGGAGATGTGTTTTTTTCCTATTTGAGCACGTGCCAGCAGACACAGGAAAGAGTTTCCAAAATGTATTTTTATATTCTAGCACTGGTTTCCGCACTTGTAGGATGTACAGCAACCAATTATATCCAGACATTTCCTACTGAACATCAGCTACAGTACTGCACTCTTCAAGCACATATTAAATAGGGGCACATGACATGTAATCTGTTGAGAGTATGTTATAATTAAATCACTTGTGGGGAAATAAAGTCAAGTATTCAACATGATTTATGCTGCAGTGACATAATGACTATCAAGGTACAATTGCTGCATACTTTGTAACCCTGACAGATAAAAAATAATCACGACACAAAGAGACAACATCTGGCTCCCCATGAGAGGAGAGCAATGTGCGACAGACCTAACATTTTTAATAGTTGAGGATACTTTTACAGTTTTGTTTTCTTTTGCTAGTATCAATGCAGATTTGTATTCTTCCTTTTCCTGCCTGAGAGATTTTGTCCTGCTTTGTTTTTCCTTAAAGAGTTATTTTTTTATCATATTACATTTTACGGCATTTACCAGGAGGCATCATTCTTATTATTTGCGTCTCTCAAAAGTAAAAGCGCGTGTTATTGAAAGGATTGATATCATCGTCAAGGAAGCACTTGGGAGCAGCTCTGAGCAGCTAGTGCTTGCGTGGATAACAAATGAATGTAAAAACACCTTTCTTTAAAAAGCAATGTGCAAAGAGAAAATTATCACCATCAACCTATTAGCTCTTAACACAGTCTGTATAAATGAGGGGGTGCAAGATTAAGGGGTGTATTCACTCAGCTGCCATAGGCAGCTGAGTGAAAGGACGACCTGAAGTGAAGTGAGCCGAACGCTGTTCGGCTATTCACTTCAGGCTGGTACAGCTGATTTCAGCCATATATCGGGTGGCTTCACGTGGCTTCCGGTCGGCCGAACATGCTCAGCATGGAGCCTCAGCGTGCAGGAGGAGTTTGACTCAGCCGATCCAACATCTGGCTACTCGCTACTGCTGTTCGGTCTATTCTTATAGATGCCGAACAGCAGTGAGTGAATAGCCGAATGCCGCTGAGCGGCATTCGGCTCGGCTGTTCTGCTCGATCCCTCAGATGGACCGAGCAGAACAGAAAAATAGTTTAAAAAGTAAAAAACAAACAAAAAGGAAACGATTGTGCGGAGCTAGCAATGACAGCTAGCTCCGCCCAATAGTTTTCTATTGGCCAGCGGTTCTGCTGCCGTCAAAATTGAAAAAAAAAACTCTCCCGTGCGCTCTGGGAGTCTCCCGCTCCCGGCCGCCCAGGAGAGAAACACTGCTTTTTACTTTTCTTTATATTGACACGGAGCCGTATCAGAATAGAAAAAAATAAAAATAAATTTTGCCCATAGGAATGCATTGCTAGATTCCTATTGGCTATTTCAATTTGCAATAGCCAATAGTAAACTAGCTTTGCACCCGCCCTCTGCTGCAGTTCTCCATCAGGTCCATCAGCAGAGGGCGGGTGCAATGCTAGTTTACTATTGGCTATACTCGGCCAGCTTCGGCTTTCAGCGCGGCTCAGCCGAGCCGAGGCATATGCCTTCGGCTTGACTAAGCCGCTCTGCTAAGTTCAGGAGCTGTACGGGCTATTGTGAATAGCTCCTGGTCCTGGGGCCGAAGCTAGCCGAAGAATCGGCCGAAGGTACGGCTAGATCCTTTGGCTGCTTTGTGAATAGACCCAGTGGCGTAACTAGTGACCTCAGGGCCCCGGTGCAAGAATCCATGAAGGGCCCCACTCTTCCACACACCCTCAGCTTATTGCTAGATCCAGCCCTGGTCCCCTTTCACCCGGGAGGTGAGCTGATTAGGGTTGCCACCTTTTCTTAAAGCAAAACCCCAACGCTCTAGCAGAATATACAGGCAAGAAGGAAGAGAGATAGCCAGGAGGGAGAGCAAACAAAGAGAGACAGCCAGGAGAGCGAGCGAGCAAAGAGAGACAGCCAGGAGAGCGAGCAAAGAGAGACAGCCAGGAGGGAGAGCCAGCAAAGAGAGACAGGAAGGTGGGAGAGCGAGCAAAGAGAGACAGCTAGGAGAGCGAGAAAAGAGAGACAGCCAGGAGGGAGAACGAGCAAAGAGAGACAACCAGAGGGAGAGCGAGAGAGACAGCCCGGAGAGAGCGAGGATATACAGCCAGGAAAGATAGCAAGAGAGCGAAGAGAGACAGCCAAGAGAGAGAGAGAAGAGAGACAGCCAGGAGAGAGAGAGAGAGAGACAGCCAGGAGAGAGAGAGAGAGAGACAGCCAGGAGAGAGCAAAGGGAGACAGCCAGGAGAGAGAGAGAAGAGAGACAGCCAGGAGAGAGAGCGAAGAGAGACAGCCAGGAGAGAGAGAGCGAAGAGAGACAGCCAGGAGAGAGAGAGAGCGAAGAGAGACAGCCAGGAGAGAGAGCGAAGAGAGACAGCCAGGAGAGAGCGAAGAGAGACAGCCAGGAGAGAGCGAAGGCATAGCAACGCACCCACCTGAGGCCCCACAGAACCCACCATAGATCCTGCACAGCCCACAGAGACTGTCTATGGTAAGCTCTGCAGGGTCTCAGGTGGGCTGGTCTGGGGGGCCCTTTCCTTGCAGCTCCTTACCTGCCGCAGCGGTCTTCTTACAGCACCGGACCGTCAGCGACCTCTTCCTTCACTGGACCGGCGGTACTGGGCCCCAGCCCCGGCGTCCTCCACCTCCTCCCCTTTCAGTGCCCGCCCGGCGGTACTTCAATCGTTGCATTTTTTACATGTCCATTTTGGGCCTCTGGTTATTATAGTATGGTAAATTCCCATTATTCTTTGCTTTACCCCCGCATGCATGGAGTTTGCCATGCTGCATTACGACATTTTTCCCAAAAAACAGACGTAACCTGAACTGATGTAAGCTGATTATCACTTTACATCGGTCCTGGTCAGTCAAAATTATGGACTTCAACTGACACGGATGTAAACTGATAGTCCTTAGTTTTCATTCTCACTGCCATAGAGATGCATTGTTGTCTGTTTTCCACCTGCAAACGGACGGTTGGAAACCTGTACGCTTGTGTAAAAGGGGCCTTGTGGGATGCAACATTGTATTACTATTTGTACCATTCCAGCAAGGTCTATTTTGTTGCATCAAAAACCTGTCTGAGCAATATTGACATTGTCGTGGTGAAGTAAAGATAATTATACATTTCTTACCAATATATGAAAAATGTACTTAAGTTGAGCTCACACCAATAACCTTGGTGTTTCCAGATCAGTGAATGAGGGGAAATCTTCATAAACGACACAGCAGTAAAAGCTGAAAGACTTAACCCTTCCCAAAAAACACTTTTAAAAAAAGTGGAGTTTTAGTTTAAAACTAAACTCCGGGCACTTAATTTAAATAAATGCAATAGCCACAAATAAATCCACTTTGCAAATCTGGCTATTACATTGCATAGGAAGGCTCCACCCACTACAGGCTGCCTTCAGAAAACTACAGGAAAGGCGGAGACAAGACCAGTCACCTTGCAGAAAGAGAAAGCAGCAATGGCCGGTCTATTACAAGCCGGATTTACTCTCTCTGCTGCACAATGCCAGGTTCCTCAATGCGCCTCCCTGTATGGAGGCTGCATACAAGTGATATCGTCAACATCACTTGTACAAAACAAGCGGTGGCTTCCCTGCTGTACATTTAGCCCCGCTTGCCAAAGCAGGGCTAAATATACAAAACAACTACCCACTCGGTGCACGGAACTGCAAGTCCTGGGCGTCGGGAGATAGGAATTCCACACCCCTGCTGCCCACCAAGATTCAAGTAAAAAATACACGTCTCTTATATTTAAGGCCATATATGCTAATCCCGGAATTCAGACTTAAGTTATACTAAAGTTTCAAACCGAACACCATTTCTCCTGTGGTCCCTTAAGTGATAAAGACTGGCTGGGGAATGGGAGAGGTTCCAGACAGTGGCCTTCAATTTAGCCGCTAGAACACAGGTACTAACCATAACTTACATCAAATGATGCAGATAATGGCCAAACAAACAGCCATGCCAGAGAACAGCATTCATTAGTAGGAAACACTGTAGATGTTTTATCAGGTGCCTGTACTCACTGTTCTCTTAGCTACTGAAACTTAATTAACTGGATATTTCTTTCCATGTCATGATTAGGATTTTAATGCAACTCTGAAAGTCGCATTTATGGCAAGGCTTAATTTAATAAAAGCAGCAATATATGAAAACCAACGCATCGGCATTCAGGAGAAACCATCTATTCATTAAATATCTATATAAAACACAAATTAACAGAGGATCCATCCTGCCCTTCCATGCTTAAAATATGTTAACTATTAAATAGATTGCTTTTATTTGTCCATGTTTTTCTCAATCACGGATGAAAACATATAAACCAATTGTTCAAATTACTTTTAAATTGAATAAACAAGTGCGTTTAGTTTAGAAATTTGCAGCTTGTTTGTTCCGTGTCTGAGATCTGAGAGCTGGCATCAAAGTGTAGGAATGGCTGCAGCTAAATTCTATTACATACTCCTGCTATTCTTTTGATCATTTGTTAAAAAGAAAGGTCCTAATCAAACTTTGTTTTATCATCTGCGCAGGGCCGGCATGTTAAAACAGGGCAGCTCGCAGCAATTAAAGTGATGAATGTCACAGAGGTAAGTGATCCATTTTCCAAGCTTATGATGTGAAAAAGTCACTTTCCAAATAATGATTTTCCGTAAAACACTTCTTAATTTTAAAAACAACCTCATAGAAAATGGAAATTCTGATATAAAAAAAAAAACTTAACTATAGAAGTCATTTGTGTGACTAGGCCAGAATCCATTAAAACAGGATTTTATCATATTTATATTATACATATTCATGTTGCAGGACCTGCCTTAAAGAAGAACTCTAGGGGAAAAAAACTCTTAACCCTTGCAGTGGGGCTACCACCCAACTGCAAGGGTTGACTGTTCATTTTCATCTAGGTGCAAAAATAAAAAAAGTTATACTCACCTGATCCTGGGAGCCAGCTGGCTGTTAAAGACTGGTCCTTCCAGCCTCTCTTCCCCTTCGCTCCAGCGATCTAAGGATCCTTGAGTCATCAAGTATGCTGTGCATGGGATGTGAGGATGCCGAGGGACATACTATTGCTGAAGTGGAGGAGGTGACAGGCTGGACGGAGCTCTCTAATAGCCAGCAGGCTCCCAGGATCAGGTGAGTCTAACTGTTATTTTCACACCAAGATGAAAACGAGCACTTAGGGCCTGTTCACATGAGTTTCAGGTCCGGATCAGGTGTGGATCAGCAGACGTGGTGCTATGTGTTTTGCCGCGTTTTAGCTACGTTTTTGATGCATTCCAGTAAAAAAAAAAAAAATGTCTTTTTTTGCTGGAGTGGGGCTGTCAGTATGTTAGCTGCAGTGCAGTGCGTTTTTGATGCGTTTTGCGTTTCCGGACCGTTTCCTGACCATACAAAATCTGACATGCAGTATTTTTCTGTCGTAACCTGAACGGACTGCACACGTGAGAACTGTAGCCCATAAAACACATAGGGATACATTGGGATGCATTTTTAGTGCAGGAGCCTACGGATCAGGTCAGCACAGAAAACGGACGTCGTGTGAACAGGCCCTGAGCCCTCGTTTTTTTTTCCGGAGCTGTGCAAAGTAAAGTAGAGCCTTCATATAACAGAAGGTATTCTCATGTCTCATTCCACCACATATTTAAAAAAGAACAGGATTGTTCCTTTTTCCAGGATAGAGGGCAGAGCCATGCAAATTGTTTGCAAATGGCCAACTGGCTAATTGTACATCCAGAACAACTGATATAGTAGAAAATACAGATACTGCCTAAAATCATGGAGCCCTTTATTCCAAACTGCATACGTTTCAGGTTTTTAATCCATCATTGCTGTGTATTGGAACCACGACTTCTATGGAGCCGGGCCTGGAACATAATGAGAAAGCACTTCCCAGAAGGTCATGGCAAGAAGGATGAAAGGAATCAAAAAGCCCTCCAGTATGTACTTACTAAGCAAATACAGAAGCTGTCCTTTTTCTGAAAATGCTTGTTGCCTCACTGCAGCACTTCATAACCACAGATCGGGAACAAGCATGCAACAAATCAGAGTCAGTGAAAAATCATAATTCTACATCTGACACATATCCATTCCAGTCAAAGTGACAGTGTCTATGTAAAGTAATGGCAACCTCTCTCTCATATCAGTGCCATTTTTTGAGAGACTTCAGTCTGTTGCTAAGCCATTTACTATCATGGCCCCTAGTACTCCTTTAACTGTTCAACATCAGGATTTCAGCACATAAAGGCTAGGTTCAGACCTGAGTGATACCCGGGCCGTGCGATCGTGTGCTAGAGCACACAGTGGTTGCTGCACAGCCCCAGTGATTTCAATGGGGCTACATCTGCGCGGCAATCACCACGATGACGTGACACACGATGCGCTGCTTTTTTAGCACAATTGGGGTGCCAGTAGAAAGTAATGCCACAGCCAGCGTGATTGGCTGTGGTTGCGACTCTGTGACCGCCTGGCAATCCACCCAATTTAGTGCACGACCACAGATCTCCCAGGTGTGAACCTAGCCTCAGATCCCACAGAAGCTGTATAGAATATTGTCCAACAGATTTGCTACTGATATGCAAGGGAATGCACAAGATGTATAGAATCATGTAGTATCGTAGCAAAGAAGGCTTAGCAATACAAATTAAGTATAAAAGGAGCAAAGGTTGATAGACCATTCATACATATATGAGAGTAAAAGCGAACAATCTGTATTCAAAATGCTTTATGCTTGCCCTTAAGTGATCTGCTACTTTACAAGGTGTACATCACTCTATAGCAGCAGAGAACAGTGGAGATATTGAATCAGCCAATGTAGAAGAAACAACGCATGCAAAATGATCTTGTTAGAGGGTCCAAATCAGTGCCTGCTTCAATATAGACGGGCAAATTATATTACATACCTCACCCTTTTTTGAAAACCGCTTTTTAATTATCTATTCAGAAGATGATAGAACATTTAATTTGCTCATGGTTTCAAGAACTGTTTCCAAAGATAGTAGACTGATACGTTCCTGTAACACTCTGCTGCTCCTCCCACTGAGTAGATGAGTAACACTTATGGGGTTTTCCAGCAGAGATAAAAATTAGAATCTTGTTTAGAGTTTTTCCCATCATGAGGCAAATAGAGAACTTGGTTTAAAGGAGGTTCCTAGTACCCTGTTTCCCCGAAAATAAGACCTACCCCGAAAAAAAGACCTAGTACTGTTTTTGGGAATTGCTAAAATATATGACCTACCCCCAAAATAAGACCTAGTTGTGACCATTCTCAGGGCCGGTGGTGGCATAAGGGGGAACTTGAAGAGCCGTGGGAGAGGCAGGAGAGAATTAGCAGTGCCAACAAAGCTAGCACTAGAGGTAGCGGAGGGAGCAGAGCCGCATAAGCTGATGCCTCCTCTATAGCGCCGGCTCCTGTCACAGGCGGAGTGATACCAAATGCACTCCGCCTGTGAGGAATCTATAGTGTAAGTGTGCTTTGCTCATTCTGGCCAGCGATTGGTTAGCAAATTGCTCTTGGAAATCACCCCTGATTGCCCTGATCACCATATTTTTGTACATGAATACATGTAGACTTTTCTACATGAATAAGTGTGGATTGTTGTACACTAAAAAAAAAAATAAGACCTACCCCGAAAATAAGACCTACCCAGAAAATAAGACCTAGTGTGTTTTTCTGGGCCAAAAAAAATATAAGACGTTTTTGTTATTTTCGGGGAAAAACGGTAGATGCAGCATGAGATTCTCTACAGGCATTCTCTGAAAACAGGGCAGAGATAAGTGTCATAATTATGTGTGATGGAGCTGCATAGCAAAACAATTTAGGGGCTCTGTTTCTGAAATATCCATTTCACAATGGATTAAAGGCCTCAATGCTGCATTCAAAAGATGCCGATGCCACCACACAGCACCAAAGCAAGGAGCTGAGGGGTGGCACCACTGGACAAAAGCCACCGCAGGTTTGGCGGGGGGCACAATGAGGAACCTGGCCTTGGCCTTGGGGCAGCAGTGAACGTAAATCTGATCCTGGCTACAGTTACATCATCTCCTTGGGAGAAGATGCAGGATCTGTATCACTGTACTATGTCCACCCTAACATAAATGCAATCACAATTGGGTGGGAGTTATTGCTAATGGTTAGGCTTTGGTGTCAAACACACACAAGGTTTAAGGGGATTTACAGAGTATAAAAACAATGCTCTTGCACTAGCCCATCTGTGTAGTAATTAGAAAGGTAGTCTTACTGGACTCCATAATGGTCTATCGCCACCATCTCTGAGTCACTCTACATGCACACATTTATTTATTTTCTTGCAAAGGAATGCTACTTCCACTATCTCCAAGTCTGGTGATGTCACAGGAAGTAATACAAATTATCTTGCTACAGGATCAAGGTGAAAAAAACAAATGAATTGATAAATCTGCTTTAATATGATAAATAACTAGGATCATAGGCATAGAAAATTCATCAGAAAAGGGTAGAAATTGTAGGCCATGTGATATGGTATAATTATCCACTTTGGGACAGTCTGTCCTATTTTTACAGGTGCTGTCAGCTGTGAGACCCAAACATTTTTTCTTTAAAGCTAGATCACAGGAAGTACAATCCCAATGTTTTAGCTATCAAAAAAACATTCCCTTGTTCCTAGTGGTTACCTTACACGCAGCATGGCTGAAACACCAAGATGCTTAATCATTACTCTGATAGGGAACACCCTAGTGACTCATATAGGGACTTTCTAAAACCAAATGACCAGTGAGATTGGTTGGAAGTCATGTTAGCCATCTGTATTTATGTTCAATGAAATCATCAGGAAATGCATTACATAAAATCCACTACGGATTATAAACTTAACTTTAGCCTGTTTTTAGTGGAAGTCTGAGTTTTGTTTTCTACCATGAATTACACTGGGACATGTAAGAGTCCCTTAGTTATTATTATTAAGGCTGTACTCTCAATAGACTACATGAGAGATAATTAGAGAGATGCTTGCTCAAACTGGTGTAAGGTCAGCGAACAATAAAAACTGAAATGGCACACGGTTTGCAAACATAAGAAGAAGTTGTTTGTTCAGATGTTCATTTGAGGCACATTAACAAAATCAGCTTTTTATTGAAGCTTAAAAGCAGCTGTAGTGGTCACTGAACCGTACAAAATTAAACAAGTGTATCCATCTGTGGTGCGCTATAGATTTTGAAACTAGTCGCCAGGAAACCATAAACAAGGACAAAATATTTCCTTGGTTAGCCCTGACCTGCTACCTAGCACCCTGTTGATGCAGATTAATGCATTGATGAGAATTGTCAACTGTGTTGTAAAACGCTGTGGTAGATACTCATTGTTTTACGGGTAATCCATTAAGGAAATTTACCAGTCAAAGAACAGAATTAAAAAAACAACTATTCTCCAACATGGAACAAATTCTTACACTCTCAGCATTTCTATTTACAGGTACATTATATGTTGGCACACCACTTCCCTTGGCCTCATTGCAGCCTCATCCAGCCAACTAGTTAACTGTATTTTGAAAGCACTGGTAGCTGTATAGCTGCAGCGAGTCAGAGAGACAGATGAGGACTACCTTACATACCTTAC